TTTTTTTTTTTTTTTATATATAAAAATAACTATCAAACTAATCGTTGTATAAAGATATATCTTTCAAAATACTAAATTACTAACTTACTAACAAGGATACAGTTGAATTGTAGCCAAGTCCTCAATATTTATTTTAGGTTTGACTTTGTACACTTTTTATTTATTCAGACTGGTTGGTACCCAGAGGCGTAGCTAGAATATTTTAATAAGGGTGGCCAGGCAGTTACCAATGTACACTCAGGGGTGTCCGAAAGCGGATAAGTGCCAGAATCTAAGAGTCAATCCACACTGTTTCAACAGGAAAACTAATGAAATTTTCTAAATAAAGACTAACTACACTTTCCTACAGCCTTTGCTAACAAATAGACGCCTATATTTAAACATCCATGCTGTCTAAATTAAAGGTGTGGTGGACTAAATTCTGTCAGGTTTTGGGACAAGCATCTTATTCATTATCATTACTTACCTACTTTTATTAATAATCATTCTGCATAGAATTCATATTTACAAGTACATATATCTACATTTAATGGATTACTTATTATTAAAAGTAGTTATTTCTCTCTGATTTCACTGTAGACTCAGAAATGACTTGCAGAGACATACTTTTCTCTTTTTGCCATAAGACAAAATCTAGTTGTGAAAAGAGCGTGAATTCTGTATTTATTTTCTTTAATGTTAGTATATTGATGAGCATCATTAACCACAGGGGTTTTTGTTGTCAAGTACTTGTTAATATATGAAGAATTTAAATGTTAAGTAAGTCAGAACATTCCATTTGAGAGTATTACTGCTGCCACCGTCTGTATTAGAGGGACAAAATGGTAGGGGTGGCCACAGGGGCAGGGGCAGAGCTAGATGGGGGGCCAGGGGTGGCCATGGCCACCATCAGCCAATCGTTGGCCACCCCTACCATTTTCTTCCCTCTGATACAGATTGTAGCAGCACTAATACTCTCAAGTGGACTGTTCAAAACATTGACATTTTCATATACTATTAACAGTTACTTTGCAACAAAAACACTGTGGTTTATTATGCACATCAATATACTAACATTAAAGATGATATATATATATATATATATATATATATATATATATATATATATATATATATATATATATATATATATATATATATATATATGAGAAGATGCAAGTCATCTAGGAGTCTTTAGTTAAATATATTTGATAAAAACATTAAATAATAAATTTATGATTTTATTGATCTCACAGTGGGGAAATGTGCCTTATGTAGATATTAGTACTTGTTGATATACATTTTTTTGCAGAATGATTATTGATAAAAGTAGGTAAGTAATGACAATGGAAAAGATGTTCGCTCCAGAACTTACACCTGAAACAATCTTATCCACTATACCTTTTATCTAGGAAGCATGGATGTTTAAAGATATGCATCTATTTGTTATCAAAGGCGTTCGGAAAGTGTAGTTTGTCTTTATTTAGAAAATATGGATGTATGTTCCTCCGTTAATGTTCCTGTTGGAACACTATAGATTGACTCTGAGGTTCTGGTGCCTATCCTCTTTCGGCCCCCCTCAGTGTACATTGGTTATTGCCTGGCCACCCTTAATAAAATGTTCTGGCTACGCTTCTGCACAGGGGTGGCCGCTGATTGGTTGAGGGTGGCCATGGCCACCCCTGGCCCCCCATCTAGCTCCGCCCCTGTCTGACTAAGCACAGAACAGTCCACAGATTGGGGCGGGCTGAGAGCCACATATCGATCAGTGACGGCCTATTAATGAGCTGGAAGGCGTGCTGAGACAGACGCACGTGCATCCATTTAAACTCCCGGACAGGAGCTCGCGCTCATTTAGTCTGCAGCTGTGCCAAAAACAGAGAGTTTCTGTCCGCGGTTCGCTTCTGTAGCTAACTGTGCAGAGAAACGGTGCTTACACAACTATTTTGTTTGTTTTATAATTGAATCCGTTTTTCCATTTTTTATTTTTATGTTTTTATTCCTCTTCCAAACAGGCGGATAAAGATGCTGCAGGACGCCTTTGGATGCGTCGTGGCGAACAGGTTCGGGAATCTTCTGGACGACGAAGCTGACCCGTTTGACCTGATGAGCGAGGTGGAGCTGGAGAAGGAGAAGAAGAAGAAAAAGAAGAAGGAAGAGGAGGACAAGAAAGGAAAGCAGAAGAAAGCCGGCCTGAAGGAATCCCAGAGGAACAGACGCCTCCCGGTCGCTCCTAGTGGTCTGGACCTGGTTCCAGGTGAGACTCCTCACCGCCACAAGATGCACTGAGGGCTGGATGAAAACTGAAGGCTGCCAAAACCAGTTTAGGGTCAGTGTTCACACTGTACCAATAGACATTAGTGCATGAAGTACTCCACATTAGTAAAAGTATTGATACTCGTAGTCAAATCTTACTCAACTACAGGTAAAAGTTACTTGATCAAACATCTACTCAAGTTAAAGTAATGAAGTACTCACTTTTGAAAGTACTTTTATTCAAAAGTAAATATAAAGTTTTCTAATATCGGTACATTTCTGTATGATTGTTTTAGAGTAATTTGAAATAACTTTGTAACTTTCAGGAAGCATCTGCAGTATTTATGCTATAGAGCTACAGCCACAAATTCTACTTTTGTAAAGAAATTCAGCATGAAAAGGCCACAAAAAATAAAAACTGCTATTTTGATAATTTTTAAATTTAAAAAACCACCAAAAATGATTGTCTTGGTTTCACTTCCACTATGGAATAGTTTTAATTTTGATTTGAGAAGTCATCCTACTGACCAACTCGACCACATGGCAACAACTAACGCCTTTCTAAAACTTAACTCCAAATATCTGCCCTTAGTTTCTCATGTCGGGGGAATTTCGTGCAAATATCTTAAATGGTGGCGAGCAAATGCAGTCCTAATGGCTGCTGTCTTGCATGCTTAAATTCTATTTCAAGAAAGAAAACGGCAACAGCCGAGTACAAAGCTAAGCTGAGCCAAAAGGAGCAAGCAACTAGCAGCTTCCACGAAATGTAGCGGAATTAGTATATTTGATTTTGAAATGTAGCGGAGTGAAAGTTATAAGTAATATTTACAAAGAAGTACCTGAATACAATAATCAAGTAAATGTACTTTACTTACCACCACTGCCAATAGGAAAATGAAGTGGTGTCAAAAGTAAACACATTTGTTACTTAAGTAGAAGCATATATACTACAGTTTAAAAACACTCTGGTAAAAGTTTTATCAACTTGACCTCTTTACTCAAGTAAAAGTGAAAAGGTATCTGCTCCAAAAACTACTTAAAGTATAGAAGTATAAAGTAACCTTTAGAAAAAACAGCCAGATGGTACTATATGAATTGAAAGCTCAATTTTTCG